GTGAGCCATCGCTGCTCCCCCTCTCTTGCCTTGATACTCCCGGCCTCCGTTGACAGGGTGCCACACAGGCAACTCAACCTGGGGCTACTGCGCCGACGACTTTTCTTCCTGGTATCATGAGGTCGCCGTGCAACACACTGAGAACCTCGACGAGTCGGACACAATCGAGGGGTGGACCTTGACGTGTATGTGGGGGGCGGCGTTTGCCCCGGCGGTCCGGTCAGCGTCTTCAACTTCGATGCGTGGCCTGCGCCGCCGGAGGCGACATACGACTACGTTGGCCCCGTGCGCTTCGAGGTTACCCCGGCCGCATAGACCCTTTAGGCGGGTATCGGTCGTAGTCTCCGGCCGGATAGGTGCCGTGTGACAGCCCGCGCCGGCGCGTGGAGTGTGCTGAAGTCCCTCGCCTGAGTGTGCTACGCGTGCGTGCGCCCACCCCGATGTGTGTAAATTTTGCCCCGTGAAGGAAGAAGCAAGAACGGAAGAGGAGACGCGTATGTACACGCCCCTCGTGATACGACGCCGGGAGATGGCACGGCAATGGCACTTGCAACGGCTGATGCGCGCGGCGCTCTCTCTCTAGCTCTCTCTCTGTCAGATCTCAGCTGGCAATATATTGCTGTCTCGTCTGACTCCGCGGGGGCGCTCTCCGGCTCTCGGGTGGTGTCGAAAGGGGGACTCGGAGCGAGCGTCGTGGAGGTCAGGACGAACGCAGAACTTTCTCTCTTACTCTCACACCTCAACCCCCGCATGCCAACCAAGAGAGAGTACACCGCGCCACGAATCACCCAGCCCACGTCTCCGGTGCTGCGAGTGTTTTGCGTGAGAGCGCGCGCGCGGCTGCGGATATATCGCGCCAAGCCGTCCGTTGGGAACGGCGCGCGTAGCGGGCTGCAGCATCAGGGGCGAGCAAGCACCCTTTGCTAGCTCCCGCCGCCTCTGCCGCCGCCGCCCCCCTTGCCGCCGCCCTTGCCCTTGCCACCGCCGCCCTTGCCGCCTCCTCCCCCGCCCTTGCCGCCGCCGCCGCCGCCGCCCTTGCCGCCGTTGCGTCCTCCTCCACCGTCGCCCCGCGTCACGTTCAGCCCGGGCACGCCCTTGAGGCCCATCTTGCCCACCGTCTTCGCCTACAACAAAGGATCCGGCGTCCCACACACACACCAACTCGCATCGCCGTCTTGCCCACCGTCTTCGCCTCCAGGGCGGGGGGCGTCGACAGGCCAAGCACAACCGAGGCGTACTCGTTTGCGCGCTCGACCAGCTCCTCCTTGGACCAGCCGAGCCGCTTGAGGTACGAGTTGTAGAAGCCGAGCCACGCCTGGGGAGGTATGGGAAGGGGAAGATGCGGGGAGATGTGGAGATGCGG